ATTCCTACTTTTCTCTTTTTTTCTTTGCCTGTTTTTTGAAATCCCTAAGATTTAGGAACTACTGCTTTAGCATACTCTGATTCTTATGTTTCATCTGTGTCTCACATTTAGCTACTACAGCATCATCAAATGTGAGCAGGCGCCCTTAAATACTGATCATTGATCATCACCTGCATCTTCCACATTTCGTAGTTTGCTTGACATGCCTTTTCACCACTTTTTATTATGGCTAGCATTTTTTAAATGATACTGATAACCCTAATATTTTTTTTGACAGAATAGAATTTCAGACTAAATTTAAATGTTACTTGAATATAAATTTGTCTCAAATATGGGGTCAAACTTCTTTGTTTTTCCAGTAATCAAAAGTGTGAATGATTTTAAAAGTTCTTACATATGGCTAAAGATGAAAAATGGGAAAGGAAAACTGGGCCAGTGTCCACTGAGTACCAGTCACTATTCTGGGGATGGGAGGGTAGGGATGACATATGTGAGCAAAAGAAGCAAAGATTTCTAACTTCCTGGAGCTTCTCACCTACCAGAGGCCCATTGATAATATGCACAACAAATAAAATAATATGTTAGAAAGTGATAAAACTGCTTTGGAATAAAAAAGAACCATAGGGGTAAGTTGGACCAAAGATATTAATTGAACCTATCAAATAGAGTGTTCAGGGTAGGCCTATTGAGAAGAGGAGAATGAGCACAGATGTGCAATCAGTAAAAGTATTAGCAATGCAGAATATAGCAGAATACGTTAAGAATGGACAGAATATGGTCTCCAGGTTAAACCTGTGTTCCTGGCTCTCCCACCTTTAAGCTGTGTGAATTTGACAAGCTAATTAACTTAAACTGAATTCTTGATTTCCTCATGATAACCTGAGAAAAGTATTATTAAGATGAAAGATATAACAAGTAAAAGTGCCTGCTTCCCGCCCCCACCTTGTTCTCATAGCACCCTGTACTTTATTTTCATAGCATTTATTACAGTTTATAATTATCTGTCATTATTTGATAAATATTTATCTTACTCATTCTAAAACATTGATGGAAAGAACCAGTCAGTACAGTAGATCTATTTTAACATACAGTCATTTGTAGACAAACTCTAAACGTTTTTTCCTGTGAAAATCATCTCATGCAGATTTATTGAGAAAGTGTTTTGTACTTATGTCTTTATGCTAGAGCTTCAGATTGTATTATAGGTATTAGCCTATTAATCACCATGTGTCATCTTTGTGATGAAGGCAATGGATATGTCTCATCTTGCAGTTGAAGGAACTGATGCTGCTAAATTGCATAGAGACATAGAAAATCAGAGAATTTGGATCAAATCTGATTATTTTTCGTTTTATTTTCCCTGTGCTTCCTTTTTTCCATCTTCAATAGTACTAAAATGGACTCTTTAAAGTATAAAAGCAAAAATAATGTAGATTATTGGAAAATCGCTAGCAAACAAGCAGTTAATATTTTAGTTATGACTTTATTTTCAGTTTTTCCCCATGAGAAACTTCTTATAGTGTCTGAGGTGATATTAGAATTCTATGCATGTAGCAAACACATGTACTCTATAAATAGGTAAAATATTACATATCAATAAAAAAATGGCAATTGTTAGAGGCCTTTACACTTAAAAACTATAATACAGGTAAAGATATTAAAATTATGGCTTATCAGAATATTTATGTTGAGGATGTAGTCACATTAAAAGAGTAGGACTGAGAAAATACATGGTGTATGCCTAATGTAGGTCAGAGTGAAGAAAAGGGGTTGAAATAACTTCATTGACTTACTTGGTACAACCAAGTCTCCATTCCAATCCCAACAAACTTGAAGTAAAGCAAGTGTCTTCAGGAACAAAAATAAAAGACATTATCAATCATATCAAACTTGTTTGGCTTCTGAATTTAGATTTTATTTTTTAGTTTGTTTTGAAAATTAAAATCAGTGAAAATAATTAATATGTAATCAACTTTTCCTAAAAATGTCATCTGCAGATTGTGACCTAGATATTTTGTTTCTGATTACTATCCTGCTTAGTGTGCTGATAATTTTTCACCCTCTATCTCTGTGGACCCAACTCCTAAAAGTAATAATGATTATTCTCTGCACATCAGTTATTAGCAAAGCAAGTGTCATTTAGTAAGTTGTGTTGGCAAGCCTACATCTGAAATACTACAAGTTACATTTTGTTCAGAGCTTTTTAACAGACCTCATTGTCACTTTTATTAATCAAATAAAGAGTTAGGGGCTGGTCACAGTGCGTTTACAACTAATTGATAACCTGCTACAAACTTCTTTGTGCCTTCTTCAGTTCCACTGCTTCATTTGACTAGCCTGAAAAAAAAAATAAAAAAACTAAAAGGGTGGGGGTGGGGTAGAAGGTGGGATAATGAAATAATAGCCAGAAGCAGGACTTTGCATATATAAAGGGCGTTTGAAACAAGCCCCTAGGGTAATGGCTTTTCATTTTTTGTTAGATTCTATAAGAAATACATTTAGCTTCATAACCTAATTCATACATATGCACCCCAAAACCAAAACAAGTCTCACTAAAGAGATTATCTAAATTAATCAGCCTGGGAACAGTTCAGGGAGACTTTTTAAAAACTAGTAAAAGTTATTTCATTTATTTGAAGGGGGAGTGATGAGTTGGGGAAATTTTATCAACAAAGAAGGAACAATATGTGATAAGGGGCAAAAGCAAAAAAAAAAAAAAAAAAGAAAACCTCTCAGTGAAGAACAGCATATTAAATAGAATAAATGAATAGGAAAGTGCTCAGAAATAAGGCTAGAGATCAGGGAGGGTGAGGGGAATCAAGTATAGCATGCCAGAGAATTTAGACTTACTTCAGAGAGCTTGAAAGGCCCATTGGAAGATTTTAAAAAGTTACATCACCTGGCAGCAGTGTAGAGCATGGATTAGAGAGGTATGAAATAGATTTTAGTGAGTGATTTTATTCATTGAAAAGTGGTTGAACTAAAAATGTGGCTAAGAGGTTTGGAGAGAGATGCATAGAAAGTAGACCTTGATTGAATGAGAGGAATGAAGAGGGGCATGGGGAAGGAGTGAAAGGCAGATGCAGATATTTCAGAGCCTAGTATTTAAGGAGAGAGACCTGAAATCTTAGAGATTTAGATTTTTAGATCTAGGTGACATTAGTCATATAAAGCGTAGTTAAAGTACTAAGTTTGGGTGAGATAAAAGAGAAAGACAAAAGACCAATCTATAAAAATAAATAGGTTAAAAAAATGTTTGAAGAAACCATCAGAGAAACTATGATTAAAGGTTAATTTCAAGAAGGAAGGAAAGGACAACAATGTTAAATGCTGTAAAGTGATCCTGTTTAAGTTGAAGATTGAAAAATACCTGTTATACTTCGAAATTGTTAAGAGATTGTCAGTGATCCTACAAGCTGATGATAGATGTTGTATCACAATTCATTTGGGACTGACAGGGAATATTGGTAAATGAGAAGTAAAGAGATTTGATTCTGAAAAAACTGTCAGGTATGGTAGGTAGAAGAATCTAGATGTAGATACATGCAAATTTTTTAAAGCATGTATGGGAACTCTGATGTGGAAACAGCTTCATGCTTTTAAGATACTGAAAGATGGTGGGTGAGAGGCTGCAACCATAGTGATGAAAGAAGAATAGTATCAAGATATGGTTGGGGAGGTAAACAAAAGCCACTTGATACAAGGCCTTTAAGAACCTATTGACTTTGATATTTTTTGGTTTTTTTTTTTTTTTTTTTTTTTTGAGGCGGCGTCTCGCTTTGTTGCCCAGGCTGGAGTACAGTGGCACAATCTTGGCTCACTGCACCCTCTGACTCATGGGTTCAAGCGATTCGTCCACCTCAGCCTCTCAAGTAATCCTGGGAATACAGGCGTGCGCCATCACACCTGGCTAATTTTTGTATTTTTAGTAGAGACAGGGTTTCACCCTGTTGATAAGACTGGTCTCGAACTCCTGCCCACCTCAGCCTCCCAAAGTGCTGAGATTACAAGCATGAGCCATTACGCCAGACCTTGATTTTTTTTTACAAGTAGAGAGAGAAGCCATCAAGGAGTTTTTAAGCAGGAAATTACCTTATTGGCTATTTAGAAAAGACGTTGTAGATTAGGAGAATGTATGAATGGAAGAAATTCACATTTGCTCAGATATTTTTCTGTTTTTGTGTTTACTTGCATATTTTGAGTTGTTGTTTCTGTTGTCTTATTCTATATAACCCTGGTTAGTCCTTTCATTTCCTCATAGTGAGAAAATAGTACAAAAGGATAGAAAAGGCAATCTTAATAAATTCAGAGAATTGCATTTGTCCTTATTTACAATTAAAGGTGACTTTTCAGTTGAACTGTCTTTTGTGGGTTTAGAATTTTAAGATATTAAAGTCAATGACAATTTCCTGCCTATCTGATACTGTTTTGGCTTGAATTTTCTTTTAGAAATATCGTTTAGAGGCTTTTAAAATATTCTTAGCATTTTTAATGGACTGTAGAATTAAAGGTTTGTTTTTTGTTTTTCTTGTAAGGGCAAGGCAGGAAAAGAGCCATATTTAGCTGCATAAAGATAATGTTAACATAGGATATTATGTCCCCAAAATAGGCAGTTTACAGAGAAGAGGGAGGATTTAGTATAATTTTGCTAGAGAAGCTCTACATCTCATGGTTCATTCTTTTCACATTAAAATTGAGGCAGTAGGGAGCATAGAGCTCATTTAAATAGCCAGACCCTTCATTTTCCAATTCTTGAGCTAGTGCTGCTTCCACAATTCCTATATTTTGTAAATATGAAATATATATATATATATATATATATATATATATATAACGTGAAACAAGACTTCTTCAAAAGGTAAAAGTTGTGCACAACACACAAAAATTATTAGATGAGTTAAATATATCTGAAAATATTACATGGGATTATGGAATTATGTAATATTATCAAAGATATATTTAACTCTCTAATTACAGGGTCCATGGGATCCCTGCCTAAAATGGTGTGCAAGACCATATAGTAACCTAATATATGACATTTGTAAGGATGAGTTAACTACCCGTCTTAAATGCCTGCTTTTTTCCTTATCCCAAAGAAGTACTTACACCAGAAATACCCTAGACATACAGACTACCAAGTAAAAACTACAGGCTCAGCCTATCAGATTCATCTCACATAAAGGATTTGCCTCAATGTTTTTACAAACCTCTTCCCCTTTCCTCCATCCTACTCTTCCCCAGTTGCATTGCTTGGCATACAATTTTGGAAACGTTCTCTGTCAGCTTTGGCTAAAATACTTTTCAGACCTACCCTAGGACATTTCTTTAAAAGAAAAAAACAAAACAAAACAGCATTTGCTTATATTCTTGTTATGCAGCGCTCTCTCTCTCCCTCTCTCTCTCTCTCTCTCTCTCTCTCTTTTATTTTTTGCAAGAGAGACAGTCTTGCTGTTACCCAGGCTTGAGTGAAGTGGCAGGATCTTGGCTTACTGCAACCTCTGCCCACTGGGTTAAAGCGATTCTTCTGCCTAGCTGGTATTACAGGCACCTGCCACCATGCCTGGCTACTTATTGTATTTTTAGTAGAGACAGGGTTTCACTGTGTTGCCAGGCTGGTCTCGAACTCCAGATCTCAGGTGATTTGCCCGCCTTGCCCTCCCAAAGTGCTAGGATTATAGGCATGAGCCACTTCACCTGGCCAGTTTTCTATTTTAGTAGTAGTGTGTGTTTGACATATTACTATGGAACACAAAATATGTGAGTCTCTGAGGTTTCTTTCTCTGAATTTTACATTTGAAATCTTAAATACATAAAATTCTTCAACAGTACATGAGTTACCAAGTTACTATGCTCTACTTAAGTTATCAGTACGATCAATTCTAATGTAAGTCTAAGTCAGCATAGGCTTATATGCAGTAACCTATAGGACTGCATCATTCTGTCTGTCCCATGCCTAAAGAACTACAGTGGCTTTCTATATATAATTGAACACAGATCTATATGTCTTGAACCTCCTGGGTTCAAGTGATTCTCCCACCTCAGCCTCCTGAGTAGCTGGGACTACAGGCGGGCCCCACCACGCCTCACTATTTTTTTCTTTTTTCTTTTTTTTTTAATTTTTGGTAGAGACAGAGTTTTGCCATGTTGCCCAGGCTAGTCTCAAACACCTGAGCTCAAGTGATCCACCTGCCTCAGCCTCTGAAAGTGCTGGGATTACAGGTGGAAGCCACCACGCCCAGCCAGAGATTTGATTTTAAATTTCTCACATGTCTAATCCTGCCCTTTCCTGTGTTTTTACTTCCTAAAACCCTATGCTTTTGTTCTTTCTCACTTTAAATGTTATTCTCCTTGCCTGAGGGTTTTCCCTCTGTTTTGGGAAGTCATATCTAACTCTAAAGTTCTAATTCTGTCAGGAAGACTTTCCTAATTCTTGATCTCTGCTGTCTTCTGATTTGTAAAAGCTTAAAATCTACTCCACATTAAATAGCTCTTAATTTTTTATTGGATGAAAAGACCCTACAGAACTAATTCCCAATCTGTTAAATATCTTGTTCTTATTTTCTTATATTAGGCATCTAGACTGTTCTTTGGAATCTTTATTCCATTTCGTATGTACTACGGAAGAAAATGTATGAAAAGCCAATTTCCATATTTGAAGAAAGTGGTGAAATGTAGACTTGTTGTCTGGAAAAGTTATTAAGCATAAGCAACAAGTGTTTGTTAATGTCTAAGAGTAGTGCTATTTCTTCAGACCTTTAGTTACAGATGCTTATGATTAAGGGAAAACAGCTGCAGCCAGAGGAAAAGGAAGTGGTAGAGATGACAAGTTATGCCGCTAGCCAAACTGGGTAGACAAACTGAAGGCCACGTTAGTAAGGATTGACTAACATGTTACAACAGCTATGTAGAGAGTTAGAGTATTATACTGAGACTGTGTAAATGTCATAATCCCTCCCATATCTCTACTAAAAAGATATTATATGCAGTATATGGAAAAGGGATCGATAGTTAAATGAGGAATATAAATTCCTTTGGGAAATAAATTCTTTGCAGGATGGCTTCATTTTATTTTCATTTTTTATATTTTTTTGAGACAGGGTCTTACTGTTTTGCCCAGGCTGGAGTGCAGTGGCCCAATCATGGCTCACTGTAGCCTTGACTCCTGGGCTTAGGCAATCCTCCCACCTCAGGTTGCTGAGTAGCCGGGACCACAGGCATGTGGCACCACACCCAGCTAATTTTTATTTTTTGTAGAGACAGGGTCTCACTATATTGTCCAGCTGATCTTGAACTCCTGGGCTCAAGTGACCCTCCCACCTTTGCCTCCCAAAGTGCTGGGATGAGCCACGGAGCATGGCCTACAGAATGACTTTATATCTCCTGTAGAGCAAGGTTACAAGAAGTCTAGTGATATGGAGTGGTTGAAACCCTGTAAGCCACCTGTTATTAGTTTTATAGGTTATTCTTGGAGCTGCCACTTCTATAACTTTTCTTGGGTTAATCTTTAGGTTAAAAAGGAACAGATTGATTTATTAGCCGTTAGGTGGCACCTAAAATTCTTTCTAGTTGTAAATTCATGTGTCTCCCATGGGAGACCTAAACATTTTCTTATTGTTCCCTGCTTCCTCTTGGGCACCCACCACTGAACATCTTAACTTTTATTCCAAGAGGTTTTGCATTATAATCAGCCCCAGAGCTGCTGGAAGAGAGGGATAACATTTCAGCTGCTTCAGCTTAGAAAAAAGGATCTTTTTTGCAACAACATGAAAACCTGTACATGAATTTGATCAATTTTCTCTATGTCCGTTTATCCCATTTTCCCTTTTAATTCTGTCATTTGCCTTTGAAAGGTGAGGAGAGGAACAGTCCTGTGTCTTGAAGAAGGTTTGTATATATGTGTTTTGGGAGAAGAGAGGTGTGTGTGTGTGTGTGTGTGTGTGTCTGTTTGTCTGTTTATTTGGTTGACTTTGTAATAACCATAAGAGGACTTTTTAAACAGCGTGTCCACTAGGAAAAAGCTGGAAGCCTTATGCTACAAATTTGACATCTTTATTCACAGGCTGAAATTCTTACCTTCCTCCTTCACCAGTATCGTAAGTTACCTCCAGAAGAAGATATTTTTTAGAAGTTCGATATCTTCACCAAGTTCTCTTGAACCCCCACTGGATAGGTGACAGAGCTAAGGATATTCCTTAATGCCCATATGTAGGCATATTTTCAGGGCAGGCATAAGAGGTCTGCTACTACATTTGCATAAGGGTTTTATGCAATTCTAAACGGTAAAAAAAATTGAAGTCAGGAGTACAATGTGGAAATTCCTGTCTACAGCTGAGAATGTTATAATCATAATAGACATGAAGTTGGGAACAGAATGGGCATTCACAGTCAAGATATGAGTAAATTAAGATTGACCTTGATTTATATTATAATAGAAATGTCTTACTACAGCACTGGAAATATCCACGTTAACCACAGATTACATAGGTACAAAAAGGAAGGGTCTTTTAGCTTTCTAAATACTATATGGAAATTAAGATACAATACCTGTTCTAGATTGAGTGAGTGGTAAAGGTTGAGAAGCTTAAAATGAAAATTAATATAGCTTAAGAACCTCCAGAGTTTTGAGAAAGGAATTTTCAAATTAGTCTGTTATTAAATATTTTGGACCTTTTGTCCAAAAATTTTGCATGTAGTTTCAGAAGATTTCCATGAACCACGGATACTGTTAATAGTCCTGTTGCTTTCTAAGGTAATTTTTAGGTTTGACCCCAAGGTATTGGCACAGTAATTGATTTTTCATGGAATTGATTAAATAGCTCCAAACCATTCAAATAACGATTTGTCTGAAGTCAAGTCTGAGAGTAATATACAGTATAATGTTATCCTGAGACATTGATATTTTCAGCAGAAGATACTAATAAAGTTTGGGGTCCGGGCCTGGTGGCCTACACCTATAATTCTAGCACTTTGGGAGGCCGAGGTGGGTGGATCATGAGGTCAGGAGTTCAAGACCAGCCTGACCAACATGGTGAAACCCCATTTCTACTAAAAATACAAAAATTTGCCGGGTGTCGTGGCACGTGCCTGTAATCCCAGCTACTGAGGAGGCTGAGGCAGGAGAATTGCTTGACCCTGGAAGGAGGAGGTTGCAGCGAGCGGAGAGCACCCTCCAGCCTGGGTGACAAAGCCAGACTCTGTCTCAAAAAAAAAAAAAAAAAAAAAAGAAAGTTTATTAAGTATTAGAACCTTGACAGATTGGTCAAATTGCAGACTTTACAAAGTAAGGTAATGTACTTCTCACCTTTAAAAATCTATACTGGGTAATAGCCTCCTTTTTCCATTCTGGCATTCTACAGAACGCAGAAGAATCTTGAGGGTAAGTTGCAAAGACAGATAAATTCAGCCTGAAACACAATATATATCCTATTCGGCCAGAACGTAGGCTTTAGGCAAGTAAGTACTGGTCTAGTCAAATTCCTTAAGAAGTTGTAACTTTTTGGCTTCCAGGTCTGAGAACACTTCCTGATGACAAGCTCTGAAATCCATAAATACATTGGTGACATTATAGGGAGATAGAGGATAGAACTTCCCAGTAATAGTCATGGGATTGATTATTTCTGACCAGATATCCCTAGCAGTCACTAAAAAATAAATATATGCTGCTTCTCAAGATTTCTCTCAGACCTCTAGGGCAGATTTCCTGTGTAACATACTTATGTACTTGTCCACTCACTACCCACTCATTAATGATGAGTTTTGGTCTCACTGTAAATGTGCTCATTGAATGAACACAATGTCTATAAAACTTCGCAATGTTCAGGAGTCTACTGTGTCAGTGGCTCCTCGTCATTCCATGAGAAGCAATTCTCAGGATAAGCCTTAAATGAAATATAAAAAAGGGATGGACTTGGACCCAGCCATCCTGGGTAATTTTCTAGTTAGAATGGAGGCATTTTAGATGGCCCATCCTTGTTTATGGTCTGTTACCCTGAAATACAAGCACAGTTGTAATTATGCTTCCTGTCAGTAAGTTTCTCCCCCAACCTTACCCAAGTAGAAACCTGATTTAATGTAGGGGTGAGGTCTGTGATTTATGTGCTTCAGAGAATGGAGCTGGGGGTGATTTGAAAGTAAAGTGAACCATGTAGCCAAGCCCTCAAAATTGAAGAGAAAATCTAGTCAGAAAGCAACAGGACAGAGATGACTCAAGATTTCAGTTGTTCCAAATTAGTTTCTAGATGTAGTGCTGTCAGCATCCCAACACAATCTCCCTTATATTAATTAAGATAGCAAAGTTAATCTAAATGATAAA